CCCGTTCGCTTGTTTTAAAGTTTGGCTTGTTCGGCTTGTTTTTTCAGCCGGAACAGTGTTTTTCTCTCACAACAATTCAGCCGGAACAGTGTTTTTCAGCCAGTTTCAGCCAAAGTTCAGACCAGCGAACGGGGCCAGAAATTTTGTCCATTTGTTTGCACGTGGGCATGTCGTGAGGAATCCTCTGCGCATGTATAATCTACCGACAGTCACATTCCTCTGTCTTTGGATATTTGTATATTTCCTACCATAAGGCTAAGCATATGTGAAAGGAATAGATGAAGGGTAACAATAACAACTACAATTTAAAACCACAAGGCTAACCATCTGTGATAGGACTAAGGTAACAATAATAAGGAGAGGCTTTAGTTGCTAAATAAGTGTAGCTCATTTGGTAGGTTGTTTATGGCATATCATACTGCATCCGTCGTAAAAAGAATGCAATTCTAGGACTTATGTGTTGTCCAAAAAGAATGCAACTCTATTCTTGTGAGTAGGTATGATATATCCTAAAAAAAATATGCTCTATAGATGAATGATGGAATAAAGTTTATAGCTTCAATCATTTCCTTTTGTCACGTCAACACATGTGGACAATAAAAAGAGTAGGATACATGTGTCTTCTTTGTTATGTACTAATTTTTTTCTCTATATGTGATTACATTCTTTTGAGGACGGAGGGAGTATCTATATATTTATGGTGCAAATCCTAGACTTAACATGTGTACTCTCATTTTTTTTTCTAAATTTATTTTTGTAACAAACGGCCCTATTCATTTAGGGTTATTACTGGCCTTCGTTTATAGGAGTCAGTGTCTAGGTCTCTTGTGTTTCATAAAAAAAAAAGAGATAGGCTTATTTAATAATGTTGTTGCTGTTGTTGTTTAGTGGACAGTTAGGATATAACAGTTTAATTAAATCAGCTGTAAGAGGAAAAAATAGTAAAACGAAATGGAAGGAGAGTTGGGAGTAGCTGGATTGACGTGGGCGTGAGGCGCCGCGCTTGAATTGACCTATTACTCTAGCTGGTTAGACCATTCATATAGGCACCTAAACCCAAAATAGATAGCAAGAGATCTAAAATCAGTCTCCAACAGAGTACCTATACGGGAGACCTAGGCACAAGCCAAATATGGGCATCCTCTCTCCTAGAAACCCATTTGCAGAAAGAATTCTCTTTTGGGTCTTGTTGTTGAAGAAGATGCCGAATAGTTATTGAACCTTTTGTCTATAGCGCTACCCAAAGAACGAATGTGTCTTGTATTTTAGGTGTAGTTGTTGGAGATAGCCTTAGCACCATTTAGCTAGCTAGCCTCTTGCACCCCATAGGACCTATATGTGAGAATGATCGTCAATATACTCAAGCATATGGAAGTAGAAACTGGCAAGTTGCATGGTTGACTTGTGCACCCTATTTATACCACATCCTACCGCTTCATGAATCATGAGGTGCTCCATTTCCATTATTGCCCTGCAGCTGGTCTTCAAATCTCCCTCTGACATACTAGAGCCGCAACATTTATTTAGGTAGAAGAAGATGAGCTTGTCGATCAGCATGATGGAGGCGAGAATGCCTCCGGGGTTCAGGTTCCACCCCAGGGACGACGAGCTCGTGCTGGACTACCTCCTCCACAAGCTCTCCGGCCGTGGCCATCGCGGCGGCGGCGCTGCCATCGTCGACGTCGACCTCAACAAGTGCGAGCCATGGGACCTTCCAGGTCGGTAGCACTAAGCACTAGCTAATTATACTGATAGCTACTCTCAATGATCCAGTAAATTTTTTCTTCTTCGATTCTCATGCTCCGTACATTCAGTCTCAGAAAATTAATTCTGATTGATTGCAGAAATCAACAGTACCCTTATGCTCCGTGTCTTCTCGGTCTCAGCAAATTAAATCTGATTCATTGCAGAAATCAACAATACTCTTTTTTGCTAATGTTGTTCGTTCTTCTTTCTTCTTAATTTATTTATTTCTCTTCATTCTTCTTTAAAAAAAATGGAACAAGAATATATCGAGTTTACTAATTCAGTAGTTCTGCAAAAGGAAAAAAATGAACAAAAAATTTGGCTTCGCCCGGGTTCGAACCGGAGACCTTCAGTGTGTTAGACTGACGTGATAACCAACTACACCACGAAACCCTTTTTGTGGTGTTCTTCAGTATGGGTTATCTAATTGAGGTCATTTGTCGATGTTGATCAGAATCTGCGTGCGTGGGTGGGAAGGAGTGGTACTTCTTCAACCTGCGCGACCGCAAGTACGCGACGGGGCAGCGCACCAACCGCGCCACGCGCTCCGGCTACTGGAAGGCCACCGGCAAGGACCGCGCCGTCCTCGCCGGCGGTGGCGAGGATGCGACGGCGGTGGTGGGGATGCGCAAGACGCTGGTGTTCTACCGGGGCCGAGCGCCCAACGGGAGGAAGACGGAGTGGGGCATGCACGAGTTCCGCCTCCACCCACACGCCGCGCCGTCGGTACCAGCTGCGGCAACGAAGGTAACCTAGATCTGCATACACCATATATTCTTGGTTCATGTTGTCACAAACCTTAAAGTCTCAGGTGATGGTATTTATATCAAAATAGCAGTACTATGTTCGCTGTTCTTTAGGATTTTTACAGTCCTTCCAAAGGTTTACAAAAAGAAAAGAAAAAACTGGTCACCAAAATTGTCTTTGGCACCTCTGTGATGATGCTAAAGAAGCTCTTACTCTTTGGCTCTATCCAAGCGTGTAGGTCTCGTTTCTCGCATGACAAAACTACCTGCAAGTTGCCCACCCCAATTATTGTATATGCACGGTACCATTATTCATGGCCTAGTCTCCCCATCCATTACTACCTTTCAGTCAATTCATGCCTACGTCACTGCCTGCAATGATCCAATCCAAAGTTGTTCAACTGATTCCATCAGATAAGCTACAGTGAATGGAGTAAATTAATGTACTGAACATTCCCTTGAAAAGGAGTTATTTGACTCTCTATACGACTAATTCTTCTTTTAATAATGTTGCCAATTAATTAAACAATCAGATCTGTAGTTTTGCTAATTTCCTCAAGTTACAAACTTGCAAGACAAAGTCCTTCAAGTAGCTTGTTGTAAATGATGTTATGTCAGTGCCATCAACATCACATAGTAGAGTAAATTAATGTACTGAACACTCCCTTGAAAAGTATGTGATGACTGTCCAGTTCACTAATTCTTTACTTCAAGTTGCCAAACATTTGTAAGATTGCTTATTCCTCGACAAGTAACCAACTCCAGAAAATGAAACTATTCAACGCAACTTGCTACATAGGGCGGTTATGTTAGTTGCATTGCATCAACATTATGTATGACACCAGTCTGCTGAATCAGCCTATCAGAATTCAGAATATTCTTGCCCTACTTAGGATAAGGATTTTACTACATCCAGCCAAGATATATGTTCAGTTTCAACTGGCCTCATATTTCCAGCCATATATCACTTGCAATTTCTATATGGACTATATATAACATAACATATCTCTGCAAAATTCAGGAGGACTGGGTGCTATGCAGGGTGTTCTACAAGAGCAGAACAACCACCCCAAGGCCAGCTTCTGAAGATGCCCAGGACGGCACCCCATCGGCTTGGCCAGAACTGCCGGCTGCCCTGCCGCTTGCACCCCTCGCTGACACCTACACCGACTACGGTGCCGCACCAACGGTTTCAGAGCAGGTGTCCTGCTTCTCCGGTCTGCTGGCACTGCCGTTCAAGAGACCAGTGAGCCTTGGGGACCTTCTGGCGTTCGACACCTCCGAGAAGGAATCCATCAGGACAGTGATGAGCAGTGTCTCAAACAACAGTAGTTCAGTACTGGAGCTTACTCCAAATTGCAACTGGAACCAGGAAAATGGCATGTTACAGATGTGGAACCCCCTTGGGATATGAGATAGATCTGTGTTGTTTGCTGGATAGTGGTTGTGATGTGCTGTCCTACTGGAGGTCTGGAGTGTTAGTACTGAGTGTACATGAAGATTAAATTTGACTAGTAGTGTGACATGCAGATTACAGATTAGATTATTCATTATTGGACTAATGGCTTGGCGTAGTATTTGTACATAGGATTGCTAATGAAGGAACCGTGTCCTTATATCTTGTTCGGTTGTTCCTATTTCTCTATTCTCCAAATATGTTTCTAAGTGCAGATGAACGTGAACAAATGATATTTTGCTGCAAAGTCGCTGCAAGGTTTGATTCTCCAAGTACACACACTTAATAGCCCCTTTTCCCCAAAAAAAAACGCTATGAATAGTCTTGTATGGGTTTTTGCTGAGATAAATTTCAGGTTTCTTATTCTTATTCTTATTCTTATTCTTACCACAATCAGGTTTAAGGGATGGATATGCACCTGATAAACTTCAGATAGTCGGTGAAAGACAAATATTTACATTGTAATGAAGTGTGATGAAACTCTAGGAGTTGCTAAATTTTCAGGCTCTAGTTCTGATGCACTCTCACCTTCCTTTCACTCTTTGCATTGAGATGTTCTCACGTTTAGTTCAAACTTTTCTATGAATCCATATCTCGTGTTTCATAGGTAAATTTCGTCTTCTGAATGGCACTTGCTGGAAGGCACAAGACATGCCAATCCAGGCGCAAAGGTAGTACTCCGTACTATCCATAGGGATAAACTTAGTCCAGATCACTTTGATAAACTGGCACTGCTAGCATTTTTGCAAGAATTCAAGGTGATCAGACTGAAAAGATAAAAGACAGATTCTGGAAAAACTGAATATGGTAGAAACCCTACAGATTCAATATATGTAGTTCTAACACAGATGAGTAAAGCATATTCAATCCTCGTTTCACTCCAATGGTTCCATTTCAAGTATATACAACAAAAAATGAAATAACAAACGAACATAATCAACAGAAGCGATGCAGTATTTTTTAGCATCGTAGCATCCACAAAAATAATTCTCCATCTCTCTCTCCCCCTTTAATCTAAGATATTTTTTGTATATATACCAGTTTTTTTTTTATCACAGAGACCACTCTGTGTTTGCTTCTGATGATGTTAAAGGTTCAGTCGTGGCAAAGGATCTCAATGTGGTAGTGTCTGCATTGCTTGGTCTCTGATCGTTGTTTCCATTGAGGTATGGGTCACCGATCACGGCTGGTTTGGTGACCCTGTCCATGGAGACTTCCTTCTCTCCTGTCAGCATTAGGACGATGTTGGCCATGTTTGGACGCAGTTTCATCGCGTCTTGGGCGCATAGTAGACCAACCTTCAAGAAACGACATGCCTCTTCAACGTTCAGGTCCTCCCCTACTTCAGCATCTATGATCTCCTCTAGTTTTCTTTGCTCATAGTATGTCCATGTCTGCAAGAGCACCAACAAAACTTTCAAATTCAGGAACACCCAGCTAAGTGAGCTTGGCCACAGAGAAAAAAAATATATCTTGAGTGTTTGTACTTGGAATGCCATTCATTTTGAAGGTGTATTTTACTTTATTTGGATACATGACAAGGCGAGCTACAACCATGACTCTTTAGGTTTAGCTACAAAAGATGTTTGGTAGCTGACCATGATGAATATAAATGACAGACTATAGATACAATAGTTACAGTTAATTCATCAGATACCAAATACTAAACAATATTAGGTCTGGTTAATCTATATCCTGTGGAAGTCGTATAATCCCTGTGTTCCAAGCAGACCCTAAATGATAACTTCAGCATTGGAAAGCTAACTAAACTGAGAACCTCAAACTGAAGCGTAGGCTTACAAAGTATGACAGCGCCTTACCCTCTCAAGCAGAAATTGATCTCCATGAGGCAATCTACTATTGTGGTTACATCTACCAGTAACAATTTCCAGTAGTACAACACCAAAACTATAGATATCTGATTTCTTTGTCACTTGTCCCCTGACAGCATATTCAGGAGCCAGGTATCCTCTGAAAAGGAATAAAAAAAAATGCAGATAAGAACTAAATATATTGTACACAATAATTCATTCAAACTCCTAAGCAAGGTTATGCTTACATTGTTCCTGCAACCTTAGTGCTCACATGAGTTGCATTGGGCGGGAGGAGCCTTGCCAACCCAAAATCAGAAATCTTTGGGGTAAGATCCTTGTCAAGAAGAATATTGCTTGCCTTTATATCTCGATGAATTATAGGGGGGCGAATTTCTTCGTGAAGATAAGCAAGCCCACGAGCAACACCTACAGCAATTTTGACACGGGCTCTCCAATTGAATCGGATGTTGCTCCGGCCTGAACCTGCAATACCATATGAGTACACACATATCACATAGCTACTAGAAAATTGACTTGTTAAAAGAATAAAGTTGGTAAGCATGTCACCTAGAAGTGTATATGAAAGACTATTGTTCTCAAGATAATTGTACACAAGAATCCTATGAGACCCTTCGGCACAGCAACCAACCAAGGTAACTAGGTTTTCATGTACGATATCTGAAATTGCTGTAAGTTCAGCTACAAACTCTCGGATACCCTGCCTTGAACTAGCAGAAAGGACCTTCACCGCAACAATTGTTCCATCTTTAAGCTTTCCCTGTTCAAATAGGGTAAAGTTTAAAAAAGACAATTCGATACAATAGACATTAAACCTGATTGAAGTGGCCAACTATGAAAATTACCCTGAAAACGGAGCCAAAACCGCCCTCACCGATCTTATTTGCCCCACTAAAATCATGTGTAGCTTTCCTCATCTCACGATAGGAAAAAATCTTCACCTTGCTTCCTCCTGGCACAGCCAGAACATAAATATAAATGTATCAGGAGTTTTTCTTTTCTAGACAGAAGAGTTTATAATTCAGATGTATGATACAAAAATGCTCACCTTCATTTTCAGTATTTTGTTTCATGCCTGTCCCACACATAAAACAGCAGGCCATTTTTTTTTTGAAAATTGAATATAGTTGATGCCCCCAGAATTGAATGACCTCTGAGCTCCTGAGAAATAAGTGGTCTTAGGTCAAGTTTGAAATTTGAGAGAGATACAACATTAGATGTAAAAGGGTGTGTGTATGTGTGTGGCTGTATGGGGTTTCTAAACCCACTCCTTTATTCTTCTTAATATAATGACACGCAGCTCTCCTGCGTGTTCAAGAATAAAAAAGCTCCTAAGAAATAGACAGAGGGGCATAAGAAAAGTAACAGAGATTATAGCATACAATTAACAGTCTCAATGTAACAACCCAATGGTCCCTCGTGATCATTATTGTGTAATCATAGATAGGCCCACTTACTGGTACACGTTCACTGTGAAAAACACTTAATTATCCCCGTTCGGCTTGCTGAAACTTGGCTGAATTGGCTGAAAAATACTGTTCTGGCTGAATTGTTGTGAGAGAAAAACACTGTTCCGGCTGAAAAAACAAGCTGAATAGTGCGGATATAAGGTAAGCCGAACGGGGCCTATGTATATAAATAAGAGACCTGATGCACCCATGTGCAGATTTGACTCTACCTGTCACATTATTAGCACTGTTAAATCAATTAGTGTTTATTCTGGAGTTAAACGGTCAACTTGCTAAGCTAATATAAAACGTGTCTAGTGGGGTAAGGGAATATATAGTCCTGAAATCACATGAAAACAGAACCAGGTCGATGTAACTTGGAAAAAAAAAACAGAGAGCAACCTGTGTTTACATGAGCTTTAATAACAACAAAAGTAAGCATTGGCACAACTGGCAGACATATTCTTCGCACACCACCAGTTTTACACTGAGAAAATGGATAAGGTCTACTTGATTTTACAGAAAACAAAATAGTGCATTCTTATTTTCACCAAAAGTTGATATTTTCATGAACTTTATGTGTTCTTCTCATGACAGTATGAAAAATTTTCACTTCCTTTATGTTAGTGTTTGATTGCGAAATAAAACTAAATTAGATAGTCCATATTTGACAATTCCTAGTCAAAACAGTGAACTAACAACATTCCTATCCACCCACCCTTGATACCCAGCCATGCACAAGCACGGTACTTTCCTCCTTTATACGAAGACAGTGCATTTCGCTTCCTTTGGGATGCAAAATGGAAGAAGTATTACATAAACAAAGAAAGTGAAAGTAGTAACCAATCTACAGATGTCAAATTGCATTCACCGATCCAACCCACCTAAACTAGACTAGGCGCAGAGGCGCCAATCAAGAATTTAGCTAATCAGTGCAACAGGGTTGCACACACAAGGGCAATGAAATAAAAGTTGGTGAAGAAATTTCAGAAAGATGCCCCCCTGACATTTATTTTTGCAGAGGCAAGCCACCGTACGGACTCCACCTCAACCATTCCCAAAAATTTATAAAAAGATCATCAAGCAAGCCGCTCGAATGAGAAAGCCAATCCAGATCAATAGATCACCTGAAACCTCATTTACGGAAGTCGCCAAACCCAGCAGCGCCCGAATCGCTACAGTATCGTCGAACACCGCGTTGGCGGCGCCGCAACAAAAGAGCGTCTTTTAACCCCAAAAGGAGAGGGAGGGAGGGGGGAGGGCAAAGCAGCTTGATCTTCGGAGCCCAGAAGCCGGACAACCAAGAACAGAAGCTTAGATCCTCAGCACCCGACCCAAAGAATCAAGAACTGACAACTCACCTGATACTGGTGCGCTGCCGGCCTCAATGCCGGCGCCCAAGAACCCGCGGAGCGTTCCCTCACCGGTGAGGACTGGGGAGATCTGGGGAGACACGGCCAGTCGACCACACAGAGAGACAGAGAGACGAAGACACAGAGGTACAGGTACTAGATGAGCTTTGTGTGGTAAGTCGGCAAATCATCCAGCCATCTGACTTTCCCTTCCGTTTATTAATCACTCTCTCTCCCGCTAAACTGAACGGTTGCTCGGAAGTCAGAACAAGGAGCAAGTTGGTTAAAGAAGTTATTTACCCGCGAGCCTGAGCTGTGAACCAGCACGTAGCCCTAGGCCAGATCCTGGCTGATTCTAGATTGCCGGTCCCCAGTGTAGTATACGAGTTCTAGTCATGTGACAGTAACAGCCTAAAATCGTAGAAGAGGTAGGAATCAAGCCAAAGCAGCGAAAAATCACAAATCCAATAAAAAATAGAAAGTAACACAAAGAGTAGGTAACCTATGGACCGTGGAGTCTCCGATTAGGTGTCGTCGAGGAGGATGCACTTGCCAGGGTGCTGCCACTAGGAGGGGCGGAGAAAGGCAACGACGTTGATAGGGGTCGAGCAGGCGCAGCACGTTGGAGAGACATGTAGAGGCAGCGCCAAGGAAGGAGCGACGGTGGCGCTGGTAGGGGTTGAGCAAGCGTAGCACGTTGGAGAGAATGTAGAGGCGGCGTCAAAGAAGGAACGGCAGCGGTAGGGAGGGGCGAGCGAACCGATGAGATTGGCTTGAATTTTTTTTTTAAAGTACCGAGTGGGTAGAGAGGAGACGCGGACATAAGCACGGAAGAGAGGCGAAAATAGTATGATATAGTAACGGGTGGTGTGGCTACACGGGAGAACATATTTGATATACAAAAATAAGGAATATGATAGATTGGTCGTGGCCTGCCTCCTTCGGTCCTGCAAATAGGTGATTCACCGTTAGGTTTATATCTTAGTATATGAGCTTATTATTATAATATAAAATAATACATTGCCATTCTTTGATGTTTTGCCCCTCTATTTTAGCCCAAGCTCCGCCACCGATTATAAGTAGCTTGAGCCACGCAAGACCACATTAGATAGGTTTTGAAGCTTATTTTCATGATGTTGTATGTCTTTTTTGAAGCTTATTTTTCACGATGTTGTGTGTCTTTTTGTTGCGTATATATGATGTACAAATCGAAATAAATGAAATGCTAGGGCTTGTATAATGAATGACACGTATAGCTTACGTATTCTTTTTGTTTAGATATACATCGATTACTCCAAGAATTGAATTTGAGTCACTTGTTTCTCTTCATCTACGTTTACAACGTGTTTGATTTGTAGGTTAATCTCACAAAATGCTATACCCTTTACTCCAAATTATAAGATGTTTTAGATTTTCTAGATTTATAGCTTTTGCTATGCATTTAAATATATGTTATACCTAGATACATAATAAAAATAATGTATTTAGAAAAACCAAAATATCTTATAATTTAGGAGGAAAATACGTTACAAACTACTCAATCCATCCCAAATTGTAAGACGTTTGACTTTTTTGACACCAAGTTTGACCACTCGTCTTATTCAAAAATTTGTGTAAAATATCACTTCTTTCGTCGTGGTTTGGTTTATTAATAAAAATTCTTCAAGAATGACTTAAATTTGACTATATTTGCATAAATTTTTTGAATAAGACGAGTGGTCAAACTTGGGGGCAAAAAAATCAAACGTCTTACAATTTGGGATGAAGGGAGTACTGCAACAGGTACAAAGCTCTTCCATGTTTTGAATCAAGGTATTTTATATCAAGACTTGAACGGTTCATAAAAATAGCTAAAAAGTTGTCTCACTGTGAAAGCATATTTTGTAAAAAAAAAGGGTTAAAAGATATTTAAGTCTTAACATCAAAATATTCCAAATTGCCAGTTTACTCCCTTGGTTTGGGACTTGGGAGCGCGAGCATGCATACAAGGCCAAACCATAATAAATTACCAAAAAGGAAAAAGGCCAAACCATAAAAACCAATGATGTGACAATGAATGGAAAACAGTGCATATAATCATACATTAAGCAGGTGCAATCACGTGGGCCCCGAGAGTGGAAGACGAGGAAGACTTGGAATTTTCAAGTCTTCCCATGTGCAGAGTACTGTGGACAGCGTGATGAAAGGCCGTAGGCGTACTCTCGGAGCTGTGACGACGACGGTGGCATTTTCGGCCGGTATTAAAGCACGACGATACTGATTTATTGTGAAAGAAAAATATTATAGATTTAATTAATAAGTTGGTTGATAAATTGAAGCGAACTAGCCCGTAAAAAAAGGTGAGTCCAACTATGCTCTCCATGGCAGGCGGCAGCTGGCGGTACAAAGCTGTGCTTCTTTAGCTTGTTCGGTTGGCTGCTTCGTATCGTTGCTGGTTCGTGAAGAAGTACTGCTGGCTGGTTTGTGTGAGAGAAAAATACTATTCCGGCTAAAAATTTACGATCGTTTACGACAAGCCACAGCCAAACGAACATGCTGCTTGTATCTTTAGCTTTGTACAGCTAGCATAGCAATCTTCAATCTTCATCTAGTGCGGTGCCGGACACCGTCGTCTTTTGTGCTCCCTCTTTGCTCTGTGTGTTTAGTACTAATATTTATCCTTCTTAGATTAGAATTCATCTCGTGTGTTTGATCAGTTTGTTTTAGTTCTTGGATTGTTTTTGTGTTATATTGTCCTACTAATAATTATCAGGAGAAATAATCTAGTACAGTACTAGCAAACGAAGTTCTTTTTTTTTTCTTTCTCTGCTTCCGTCCCGGCCGATCTCTCGTTCCCCACCTTGTATCGCTCTCGCCTCTTTCTCCTTCTCCTGCTTTGGTCCATTGATGACGTCATTAGGTTCCTAACTTCCCACGTCACGCGGTCAGAGATGACATGGATACCGGAAGGAAGGAAAAAAAATTGCCTTACATTTGCACTCCCTCCGGTTATAAAAAAAAATACAATTCTCGTTTTTTTTAGAAGCCAAACAATTTAAAGCTTAACTAAAGTTGTATAAAAGTATATATATTAACATTTATGATACAAATAAATATCACTAAATTAGTTATTATGAAATATATATTCTATACAACCAAATATCAGCATGTTCGCTTGGTCGTATTTGGCTTATAAGCTATGGCTTATCAGCCAACCAACAGTATTTTTCTCTCACACCAAACCAGCCAACGCTACTTTTAACCATGGCTTATAAGCCAAACAAGCCCAAACAAACAGAGCGTATATATCTACTAATGGGCCGAAAATGCTTCATAGGCTGGAAAGGGCCCACATTATCCACCCAGCCAGCACCGAGCAGTCCTCGGCCCATCCAACTACCTCACTACCCTCTAAAAACCCAAGACCGCCAGCCCTTGCACGTCAGCACCTCGACGACTAGACCGCCGGCGAGCGGCGACGGCTCCTCCCTCTCCCCGCGTCCCTCTGCCGCGGATCCTCCCCTCGCCGCCGCTCTCCTCCCGGGCGCGGACGGCCGGACGATTCCTTCCGTGCACCTCTGGTAACGAACCCTATACCTCGCTTGGGCGGATTGTTCGTTTGCCTGGTCCCCTTATCCGAACTATCAGCGCTGGTCCCGTCGTCCCCGTTCTCAATTGATTCCGATTTTCCCTTTCTTCCAAGAGAATTTTGCCCCTGCCGCTAAGAGATGGCCGTGGATTTCTTCTCTGCGTGGCGGGGCGCGCTGCTGATTCATTCGGTCAGTCTACTTAGTGATCCTCGCTTCGAGTAGATTAGGTTGTTCATCCTCTCGTTCGTCGCCGCGACAGATTGTGCTATCGGCACCCCTACGATTTCTCGGTGCCCCCCAGGACAAGTCGCAGTGTCCTGTGCTATGTGCCGAATTCTCTCCGTGTGCTGTATTCTGTGAGCCTAGGTTTCCTCCTGTGCTGTGCCAGAATTGCGTAGCCTGGCCGACCTCTGCCTCTACTGGTGAAGATCTATCTATGTTCACAAGCATCTCAGACCGATTCTTTTTTGTGCTCATGGTTAAGGGCCCTATTAGCTTATATGTACATTGTGGCCTATTCAAGTGGCTTGTGTGATACCATCCTTGCCTGTGAACTGTGACGATTCAGTGCCAAACATAGCCGGCTAGCCCATCCATGTGTTTCGCGCGGGAAATGCTTCACCTACAACCATTTTACATACAAGAACCATGCATGTACGAGCTTTCCATCTAGGTGATTTTAACCGTTGGGACCTGTGTCGTACTCACTCAGATGGTTGCACCGTGTAGCACTATCTTTTGTGTGCTTCCTTGTTCTGATTTGCGCCATCGATGACCGAATCTAGTTTAGTTGTCGTTTTGTTCCTTCCAAATTTAGTTCCTTGTCGTGTTTTGCCTTGTCGGTTTGGTTACTGGGTTGGAGGACTCTAGAAGTAGTAACAACTTTCGCATCCCTTGTGGCTGCATTGTGAGTAGTTGGTATTTGTAATTCTTCCTTGTTCGATTATTCTCTGTGGTGCCTTAGTAGAACATCATACACCCGTTACTGTTGATATGTTAAACGGATTGGTTGAGCTGTTGTATTGTAGTTTGGCTGCTATATTCTAGTTGGCTATGTCTATTTTTTTTGGTGATATATGTCCCTACAATATTTTTTTGCTATGGTCACAGTGGTTACGTTGTGTACAACTGTACCTTTCCTTGTTGGGATTTGGATTCCCTTTTTCAGAAAGCGTTCGATCGTTAGATGTTTCTCCTACATCTGTATAAAGCTTTGCATGAATCTTATGATTTGTTTTCTTACACAGTTAACTAAACAATGAGACAGCAGACTGGTAAGCGTCCCCGCCAACACAGGGAATATGAAAGAGAAGAAAGGAAGGACCAACACAAGAGGCCATTTCCCCATGCTCAGGAGAGCTCTAACAATGATGGACTGGTTCTTTACCGTATACTCTGTCCAGACAGTTTGATTGGTAGTGTCATAGGAAAGAATGGCAATGTGATAAATGCTATCCGGCAACAGACAAGTGCCAAAGTCAAGGTTGTTGACCCGTACCCTGGTGCAGACAAAAGGGTTATCCTGGTATATTGCTACGTCAAGCATAGAGACCTTGATGCTGAGGGTCATGACAATGAGCCTGTTTGTGCAGCTCAAGATGCATTACTTAGGGTGCACAATGCAATTGTTGATGCACTGCATACATTACAAAAGAATCGTAGAGACTCTGATAAGAGGAATACAGAGGAAGCTAACATTCTTGTGCCAGCTAGTCAGGCCTCAAATGTTATAGGAAAATCTGGTGCTGTCATCAAGCATCTTCGATCAACATCAAGAGCATTCATTAAAGTGAGCCCAAAAGATCCAAGTGACGCTACACATTCATGTGCTATGAGTTTTGATAATTTTGTTCAGGTAAATTCTCTGGCATCTCATTGTTTGGTAAACCAATGTGTGTTTCCCTACATATTATTTGATATTTGTTATTAAAGAGTGGCAGGATATATAAGCAGTATATTTGCAATAACTTGCTTGGTTCTCAATTTTTTTTTTGTATTACAACTGTACCATATATTGTGCTTATCTTTTGTCATCATGGTACAGAACTATTTGTTCCTGAAGTTGCAATCTCCTAAGCTAGCACAGTGCTTCAGATTTTCTTATCCTTTTTTGACAAAATGCAGGTTTTAGGCTATATATTTCCGAACGCATACATATTTCGCTTGTCCTCTGTTTATGAAAGTATGCTTTTGTTTGTTGCTCACACTTAAATGTATCATGATTAAAAATTCCAATCCACCACCTCTTTCTTCTAAATTCTGCAATGTTCTATAATATCTTTCGTCTGTTGTTACATATGTTCTGCTAACTATTTACGGTAAACAGATAACTGGTGGTGCTGAAGCTGTTAAAAAAGCACTGTTTGGAGTATCAACCATCATCTACAAGCACCCATCAAAAGAGAACATTCCTCTTGAAACTTCCATTCCTGAACCTACTCCAAGCATTATAATCCCTTCAGAACTTCCTGTCTATCCAGCTAGTAACTTTTACTCAGCCCCAGATGCTGCTATACCTTCTGTACACCCAAGCATGTCTATCTTAGGGTCAACACGTCATGTTCCTGAACTTGCTCTACCTGCCAATGATCATGGTCGACTGCCTATTTATCAATCTATTCTTCCAGTTATTCCTACTTATAGTGCCCCAAAATGTTCAGGAGAACTTGAGTTTCGTGTTTTATGCCCTGGTGGCAAAATTGGCTTGGTTATTGGCAGAGGTGGGGCTACCATAAAGAATATAAGGCAAGAGAGTGGTGCAAGGATAGATGTTGATGATGCAAAGAATGACAAGGAGGAAAGTATCATTACCATTACATCCACTGAGGTCAGACCAAATATCCTCACCTAGGTTTTGCTCTGTTTTCAGTATCCTATCGTCTACTCAATTTTAGGTTGTACCTTCATTTTCAGGCCACCGATGATGTTAAGTCTGCCGCTGTGGAAGCTGTTTTGCTGCTTCAAGCCAAGATCAATGATTATGAGGATGATAGAATGAATCTTCGCCTTCTTGTCCCAAATAAGGTTATAGGCTGTCTTATTGGCAGGGGTGGTTCAATAGTCAATGACATGAGGAAGAAGACTAAGGCAAACATCCTCATTTCTAAGGGCGATAAGCCCCGGAGAGCATCTTCCAGTGACGAACTTGTTGAGGTAAGAGTACTCATTTGTTTACCAGTTTAAAATTTTAAATAGCCTTGGTAGCAAGATGTCTCAAATAGTCAAATGTCAAATGGCTAATGTGTGTAGGTATCTGGAGAAGCAGACAAGCTGCGTGATGCTCTTGTTCAGATAATTTTAAGACTTAGGGAAGATGTTCTGAAAGAGAGTGTTGAAAGCCAAAATTCTGACAGGGATGGCAAGCTAACCGTTGCCACCTCTGATTCCTTATATGGAAGCAGTCTTTCTTTGCCTGCATTATTACCTCGCAACCCACAAATTGCCCCCTTGAGCTATGATAGAAGAGGTGAATCTGAGAGAGCTCTGGAAGTATTCCCTCGTACCAGTTCGTATGGGTATAGCTCCATGCAGGTATGGTTTGTGATTTTGCATCATTTTTCTCCTTTCCTACTCTGGTCTTAGGCATTCCTTAGTATCTATGAATTTGTTATCATCTTAATTGTTGACATCCTCTCCATTAGGTCACTGATGATGGCTATGGACGACTTCCATCATATACATCAAAGTCATATGAAGAGTACGTTTCAACTGAACTTGCTATAAATCCTGTTCTGATTCTACCATGTTAGTTCTCCTTTTAGTTATTGCTCTCTATCCAGTTTGATACTTGCAATTATAATTCTTTTTTTCTTTTTGCTAAATATTAATGGCCAGACATGTACCACGTGTGGAAATGACTGTCCCTGCTAGTAGCCTGTCAAAAGTAATGGGAAAACGTGGCACAAATTTGGACAACATTAGAAAGGTGAGTTTATATTTTTGCTTACTCTTAGAATGAAAATACGCTAGAACTTAAATCTTGATCTTATTATAGACAACAAATCATGCCCTAATTTTCCCTGAATTAAGCATATTTATTTTGAAGGGCGGGCCTGGTGCAAGCGGTAGAGTCTTACCGCCTGTGACCGGAAGGTCCCGGGTTCGAGTCGCGGTCTCCTCGCATTGCACAGGCGAGGGTAAGGCTTGCCACTGACACCCTTCCCTAGACCCTGCATAGAGCGGGAGCTCTCTGCACTGGGTACGCCCTAAGCATATTTATTTTCTCCTAACTTTTAATTTGGATACGCCATCTAAAGTGTCATGTTAAAGGGCTCAGGTAGATATCACAACTATTTTAGAAAAAAATCCTCTGCTTTCATGAAACTTTGCAAGAGTTGTTTTGTAGATTGGATTATTTGTTTTACTTGATCTCATGTTACTTGCTATCCCTGGATATGTTGAGTTTATTTTTTATTGGAATAAAGATTATTTCATTCGTTTGCATTTTATTGAAATAGAAAAACATATATAATGCATGTGTAGGATGCTGACGGACCTCAACTAAATTCTGAAAGCATTTAGTTTTAGACGGATTACTATGCAAGAACCACATGTTCATTGTCCAACTAAATTCTGAAATGACATAATAATATTAAAAAGGATCAGTCCACAACAGCTATACCCTGACATCTTGGGGTGCTGTATCAGGTCAACTTGACAACCCTCTATTTGTGTAATATCCACGTTTTATTACATTTTTGTGTTGATCTTACTTGGCAAACCCTCTATTCTTGTGTAAGGAATCTTACACAAGAATTATTGGGAATATCCTGACATCTATTAAAGTGGATCTTTCACAAGATTTTGTCAGTCCTGTATTTGTGTAAAATCAAAATTTTATTACATTTTAATGCTGATGCATAATTCTATGGATGCTGTTGCAGATTTCTGGAGCTCACATTGAAATTATTGAATCAAAATCCTCTCGTCATGACCATATTGCTTACATATCTGGAACCTCTGAACAGAGGCAGTCTGCTGAGAATTTGATCAAAGCTTTCATAATGTCTACCTAGGATTCCTTCTGTGGTCTGAGAACACCATCTCATCAGTTTGATCTCTTTTGACTTCCTCTGCCATCCATAGTTTCCCTGGGTTTTTGAAGAACATCGAATGCAGTGTTTCCTCCACCTGTCCAATTTCCCAATGAGTATGCATATCTGAGCGAGGTGTACTCCAGTAGTAGACAAGGCACTCATTGTTCCTTAGATCTTCAACTGTTACCTATTTGTGTTGGCATAGTCATCATAATTCACATGTCTTACTCTTCATTATCTCAATGACCGGTCTAGTTGCGGCTTACCGATATCTCTTTTGTTTGTGTTGGCATAGTCATCATAATTCACATGTCTTACTCTTCATTATCCCAATGACCAGTCTAGTTGCTGCTTACCGATATCTCTTTGAATTTTGCCCTGTCAATACTGAGTTGATTATTCCTTCACAACTAATAGTAGAGGGGCCTGTTTCCCAACCTCAATGTCTGATTCACTTTCTGCTTAGTGTAGCTCTTATAATTTCATCCTGTCTGACTGCTATCTGATTCATTAGGTTAATAGTACCATGGGCCCTCTTTGGAATCTGAGAATGACCCTTTCGTGAAAGGCTTGTCCAAAACTCCTTGAGCTTCCTGTGTTTCAAACATTCTTTGGAATGTGAAGTTCCAGGTGAATGCCATTGGCTGATTCAGTTGGTGCTTAGTGTTGTTTTTGTAGTTCTGCCTTGCCTATGCTGCTAGCTGTGACCTTAGAGCGGGGTTTGTTCCTTGTCAATCTGATTAGCTCACCCATTGCTTGCTTCGGTTCTTATAACTTTGTCGTGTCAATACCTGATTCTTTCATCATCGGTTCCAAAGAGTTCCTTGGCTGCTAACTCTGTTGAGGACCATACAAGTTCTTTGAAAACTTGCCCGGAAACCCTAGACTTTTAGAAGCAACAATGTACATAAGCTTAGTCAAGTTCTTGGATCACAATATGCAGATCAAATTTTTTTTGAGCATTCTGCAAGTATATGAAGGGCGGGCCTGGTGCAAGCGGTAGAGTCTTACCGCCTGTGACCGTAAGGCTTGCCACTGACACCCTTCTCCAGACCCCGCACAGAGCGGGAGCTCTCTGCACTGGGTACGCCCTTTTTATTCTGCAAGTATCTGTGACCATCATTGGTGGATGTCTAAAGAACTATTCTAATATTTCAGCTGTCTGAAAAACTGCCTAGAGAACTATTCTAACATCCGATGGTGCTACCACCTTAGATGGGGATTCTTCCTGCCCAGTCTGTGGCTGGTTCACCCATTGTGCTTTGTCATGTCAGTAGTTGCCTAATTCTTCCATCATCAGGTTCGAAAGAATTGCATGTTTTTCTGCAGTGATTAATTCTACTGTGGAACCATATATTAATAAGTTCTTTCTAAACCTGCATGGTAACCATACATTATTCAGAAGCATCCATATTCATTAATCTTAGTCAATCCCATCTCCCCCTAAAAGGTCCCTGGAGCCCTCTATCAAACTAAAATTCGCTCCATCCTTCACCTGTGCAGTTACTCATGCGCATTTTGTGATAACAAGCAATTATGGCCTCATCAAGTGTAAAAAGTTGCAGTGTGTCATAATGTCTGTTAACAAATTGTAATAGAGTTTGTTGTTGTGGATTGTGGTAACAGCTGTTGTGGTTGCTCTGAGCTGTCTTCTGTAAATAATGAGCATGATGTTGAAATTTTGTAGCTCAGTAGAAAGCCATGATTTTTTTTTCCTGGAGACTCTTTTGGGTGCCTATAACTGATTGACGCAGTCATTGGTAATTATGAGATGTGAATCTGTTACAATAGAATCCTATGTGTTGCGTGTTTATCTCTTGCATTTGTGAATGGTATAAATGTACTGCTGTTGTGCATATGTGTATTGGTAAAAATCAAGGTGATGTCTTCAAATTTCTTTTGAAGTGCTTTTCCCTATACATTTTCCTTCTCTGAAGAAGTACTTTTAAAATGCGTTATATTTGTTTTTTTTTTCTTTATGTACCTGTGATGAATCACGCATTAGTGCCTTTTGTTTGGGCACCGATTGCCATCGTTGCAACTGTAATTAGGCTTTTGCAAAAAAAAAAAAAAATAATAATTAATCGGCTGGAGCAAAATAGAAATATTTTAATCGGCTGGAGCAAAGGGCCAGTTAAACCCGTTGCCACAAATGATCTCTCCCCGACTCATCTTGAATTCAAGCCACCCATGATCGCACCCCGACTCATCTTGAATTCAAATTATTTTCAGTATCCATTTTTCTTAATTATAAATCAATAGCTTTAGCATTATCTTGGCACTATCTTCTATCGTATGCACGTAGCTTATGTTTTGGAAATGATTTTTACATCACCTATTCCCATTAGAATAGAATCCAAAACAATAGCAGCAACTTTGTTACATCATTACATGGCATTATCACCTTGTTATTTTTTTTGCATTTTCATGCTATATATAATTTACTATTCAAAGTAAATTTATTAAATACATGATCAATTCATGTACTATTGACAAAAAAAATTTAGATTGTCTAAACTAGCGTTGGATGGAATTAATTTCTGACATGGCCACTATCAACAAAATGTTAGGATCCCGTAGCATTAGAGCCACTTTAATCTAAATTCCAACCAAAATGCCTAACCCTATTGGCATACACATGCACAATTGCACATTTGTATTTAACTCCTATTGCGAGTGCTCAAAGGAGCAAGGTCCACGTATTATTTTGCAACCCCCTTATCAAAGTTGTCAAGACAATGTAACATTACCCAAAATATAAAATGATCACTCGTTCAACCAACATATCACGGTTTCAAAAACACAAAATGCCATTTTTAAATAAAAGTGACTGCAATAAAACTGACATTTGTCCAACAATATGGATGTATAATCTTCATACACAGATACACATATATGTGGAGTCAATCATTTGGTCCAAACTATACATCAGATTTATTGGAGAGTTCTTGGAATTAGTTTGAAACTCACTTCAACAAATAAGACTACAAATGCCTCTGTTAAAAATAACATTAGTCCAATATTGTACTACCGCATGTAGTACACAGTCATGTACCTCAGGCATGATACTCTTGTTCTATATAAGTTAAATTTTACATTGAATTTTAACAGCCTTTATAGAATCATTTGAAATTTCATCATATAAGGAATTTTGTTTAGTGGCTCATATCACTAACATTATGGAGACTACACTCTCTCTAAGGGTATTAAAATGTTAATCTTTGTATGCATCATTGTATCAGGATTCTACGGTTACCATTATCATGTTTCAAGATATATTATGCATATGGTTTACATATCCCAACAAACTATTAAATTGTAATGATGAAAACCAGCACTCAGCTTATTGGTATTATGGATAAAAAAAAACCAAATATGTGCAACCTTTTTTCCTTCTATATCATCTAGGATGCATTCTACATACATCAATCGATTAAAAAATGTTGCATACAAAATAAATTTTCAATCTTGAACCCATCAACACTTTAACATGTTCACCATGAGAAAATTCCCATAAATTTTTATATTTTTATTTTGTGCACATGCTCTTTCATATCATTTCATTATGCAAGATATGCCATGATTTTATGCACGAGTAAAATACATATTCACCTGTCTTGCATTCAACAAACCAAACACATCCCATGCGAAGTACACTAGTTAGCAAACACATCCTAAAACCTAGAATATCGATACCTAGCTAAAGCGAGCAATTAGTATGGACAACTATATTAACTAATTACAAAGTTTAAAATGTGACCAAGTAAAATAATAACATAGCACTTAAGTCTCATGCAAATTGCATGTTCAGAATAATCGAACAACTCATGAGAAAGAACATGTAGAAATGGTGAAACAACCCCTATAATGATAAAAACTCCATTGTAGTGACATCATATTTGAAATTTGAAGGTAACCATGAGAATAAAGATCACAATGTATAACTTATATTATTCAAAGGGGGTAGTTATGATTACAAAGAAAAGGTCCAGCTACATTCAAGCATGCTAAAGTTTACACATGAAACTGTAAAATGGCAGCTGAATGAGTTGGGACAAAATGACACCCCAAATCCCCAAACACATTTATTGCAAAGGCTCAGTGTCGGCTGTAGTAGCGAAACCATCTGCGTAAATGGGGTGAAGATCATGACCAGCAACTGGATCAACATGAACCCATTTCCTGCCTGAGAGCTTGTTGCGCTCAAAGCGGACATGGCCTTCTTTCAGGCAGAAAAGTGTATGGTCCTTGCCCATGCCAACATAGTTTCCAGGATGGAAGCGGGTCCCTCTTTGGCGGACGATGATGTTCCCTGGTAGCACTTTCTGAGGAAAAAAAACTGTCATCAGATGGGGAGCATAGTGGCAGTAAGAGTTCAATGTGTCCAACCCTTGATAACATAAGACAAAAACGTAGAAGATTAAGTGACCAATGTATCGTTGATAAATATGCAGAATCATAGTACTGGAGCCAAGTATGTTAATATGTGTCAACTGCCAAAGGGAAACTCCAAGCAAGCCTCTGACCACATGACGAGTGCAATGGACTGGAATTGTCAAATTATCTATTTATATGATAATCATGTAGAGTTCTTCTCGTTATATGCTTAAAGATAATGCCTTTCTTTTAAAGAATCAGAATGGAGTATTCGAAGTGGTACCTCTCCACCAAACTTCTTTACACCCAAATACTTTGGATTGGAATCGCGGCCATTTTTTGTTGATCCAGCAGTCTTTTTTGTGGCCCAGCGCCTAAATATCATGTTTAGTCCACCAGATAACTCTGGAAGCATGTATTCTTTAGGCAGATATAATTTAAGTGGATTAAATATACTATGGTAAGCTGCCAAAGTCATCACCTGTAGCACTGGTATAGACTGAAACCTTGGAGGTCAAATCTTTCACATTTATTCTCCTCAACACTGATGACAGTGCCATGCTGATTACCAGAAAAATTCCTGCCAATGGTGAACTTATATAAGCTTTCTTTTTCTTTTTCCTCGAATATGCAAGAGAGCTGCATACCATTGCATAAAGAAGAAACAAGAACACCAAAGTACAAACACACACACACACACCCCCATGGGCCTGGCGTACCAAGCATGCAGCCCACAAACAAAACTCTATAACAAATTACAAACACACCAGATAAGGAGGGACACACGACACCACCAAGCGACCAAGCAAACTAAAAGATGTCTGCCTCAAGCTGGGCTAAACCCCTAGCACCAGCAAGGCTCCAAAGATCACTCTCCCTCAGGACAAATCTAAGAGTTCGCACAACATTAGGAGAAGAACGTTGAACATGCAGTTATTATGATGTTTCCACAACATCCAAGATCCCAAGACCACTAAAGAATTAAGCACCTTCAAACGCTTGGGATCAAACGATTGATCTTCAACCACCATCCATGTTTCTTCCCAAACAGTTTCACAATTGGATTTTGCAGAAGGATTAACAAGTTAAGCATCAAAGAAGCGTTCTCACAAAAAATGAAAAGAAAAGGCATTCTTAAGAACATTGTGCTATACAATATTATCACATCATCAACCAAGATAGCTGTTCAAGCCAACAGCAGAACAAGGGGGTGGGAGCCCACATGGCCACGAGTCCAGAAGTAGACACAGAAGAATCAACTAGATACTTTTAACTTCACAGACCAACTAATTAACCTAGGCAACAATGGATGGGAAGATCTACTAGTGAGTGCCAGGGCTACTGCAGAGGCGCTGCATCCAGTGACAAGCAGCAACAATAGGCAAGGGCTACATGCAACAGCTGACCCCGGAACCACGGGTGCGCTGGTTCAATGCACCACTGCACCACACGACAGCTGATCGATTGGCTACCCAGGCCGCATTTTCTCAGTTTTGATTTTAGTTTTATATGTAATTATGTATCCTAAAATTATTTTTTTTAATTATGTCGTGAGATCTTATAATAGCTAATAAACACCTAAGGATGAAAGGCTAAACATATATACAGTTATTATTCTTATATTTACTGATGGCCTATATTGTGAGATAACGATTATGTTTATCCAGCCCCCTCATGGTAATTTCCTGGTTCTGCCACTGGTACAAGCATCTGCTCTACTGAAGAGATATTACTATTTGATTAGGAGATAAGCTGAATGGTTTAACTATAATGATCTTTAAGGAAAACACAGGGTTTCAATGCTTTAATTCGACGTGCATGTCTATCTAATACAAGTAGAAGTGTAAGTGCAAGAAAAACAGTGACTAAGTCAAGAGTTACTAGTAAAGAAGATGAAGAGCCTCCTTCTAAGCTCATCATTCTACTCATGTATCCTCTTTCCCCCTTTGTGAACTATAAATATTATTGCAGCATAGATCAAAGGATCAAACTAGACATGCTGAAAATGCAGAAAAAAACTGTTGTGCCATAAAATTGGTGCTTCACTGGTAGCTACAAGTTACAAAGATGATTTACCTCAGCACTTACTTTCTTCCGTTTTTTCTACACTGAGCAGAAATCGTGAAGCATAATAAAGTTTTACCTAGGACCCAGGAGAATCAGTGTAGATATTTATGCAGAGAGCAGAGAATCCAAATTCCAAACCTTTGCCAGTGAGACTGGATTGGCCGAGACTGGGACAGTTGAGAACTTGAGACAGTCACTAACTCACTATGACAGTATGACTTTGACACAGCTTTTACCACCTTAATAAGTTCCACTTTCACTATTTATTGATTATCCCTAGAATGCAAAAATATAGAACAGAACTTTTACGTGTGCACGAATTGTGAAGACCTTAAAATTCCAGAGTGACACTAGATAAAAAAGGCCACCAGATATAAGTAACTGAACTAAATATCATTGAATTCAGGATTCTATTTTAGACGGTCTGTAATCCCATTACAGAGCAGGAAAATGGAACATGATAAATTCAGTGTGGGTTGCAGAAAAAGGTTAACTAAATCCAAGATATGGTTGGAGAGAAATTTTTTCTATTTAATTCATATATCTCCATATTTAGAACAAAGCCTTTTGCCGCTGCTTTATAGGAAGCAAAATAGAGTATGGTGTGTTTAAAGTTTAACCCCAATCCAAGTTACTTGCTAAGACAGGGGGGTCACAAATCAGGGACTAGACAGACCAATGGTATTTAGCATAGCAAACGGTCTCAGACTGTATGCCTGAATCGAAACAGAAAATGTCGGTTGTTTCAGACAAGCAAAACAAATAGCGAGGAAGTCATTTGCCTTGTCTTAAACATCTTTTTTTTTAGTGGAGGCAGCAGTAGTAATGTTATAGTAGACCAGCCAGGCGAGTTAGAACCACTCAGAAATAAAGTACTTGACAAAGTGTACAGCAGATTACTAGCTGCATGTACTGTGTGAAAATTTCCAAATCCTGGCTAATCCACAGAAAATTGACACACGAGATTCATCAAGATAATAAATGGCACTACATAGTGAAGAAATTCAACATCTAGTATTCTAGTTAGCGACACAATCACACAAATCCATCCTCATAGAGAGAAAAAAAGCTATTGTGCTTCTATTGTGGTCAAAATATGCCAGCAGCAAATGTGCACAGCTTGCCATCCAAACCCTAAATCCCTCACAATTTCTGGAAAATAGAAGTGCACCTGCACTTCATCTTGGGTACCACCAGCAAGTGCTACTGGGGCATCACGGGCTGGAAGCAAATTCACACACAGCTAACTGAACGAAGAGAAATAAAGGCTTCGATGTCTCACAGCCACCCCGCAAAGTGAAGGTGCCCCGGGACAGAAGGAACTCTTGAAGAATTCATTGTGATTAAACTTACCAATAGGGCACGAAGAAGAAACCAATCCTCCACGCCCCGATGGATCTCCAATCCACTAGACAGGGGAGGGGAGGAGTGGCACTGCAGCCTGACTGCCTGAGCTGCAGCGTGCGGCGGCGAGTCTGGCAAAGGCAAGGAAGGAGGGAGAGGGAGGAAGGCCCCGGCGGCGGCGGCGGAGGGAAGAAATGGCCGGCGCGGCGAGTGGGAGGGGAGGCTGGTCCCTTGATTGGGCTGCTACCTCGTTTTGATGATTGGGCTAGATTCCAGCCCATCTGGCGGGTTTCTGCAAAAGAGGCTAGAAGGCCCAGCCCAACCCGCTAAACACAAACAGGCGCACGCACGCAGCACGCTCCTCCTCGCCGCCTCGTCGGTGTTCCGCTAGTGCAGGCAGCCGCCGAGCCGGCAGACCACCAGAGACCAGACCGGCAGACCCCATCCGCAACCGCGAGCCAGCAGGCGCCCCTGACTCTTGCGGTCGCTGGTCCTGCCTCCTCTTCTTCCAGAGTTCCCGCTGCCCGGCCCCGGCGGCGCGGAGGCGGCCCCAGGGGCACGGCATCGTCCGCAGCATCCAGGCCCTGGGCCGATTCCGGCACGAGCGCACGGCGCACGGCAGTTCCCTTCGCTGGTTGGCCCCGCTGCACTGCGCTAGTGCAGTAGTGCTTTGCTTAGCCACAGGTAAGCTGTACTATATAGGCACTGCACATTGAAGTATTATTAATTAATCCATCCCTTTCTGATTGCCGATTATTAGTTCTTGAAAATTAAGTCCAGTTGCATAGCATTCCATACGAGGCTAGGATAGAATGGAATAATATCTCATTCATCAGGGAAGATGTGTCTCAAAGATGAGTCCGGGAACTAAAGAGGGGCCTGCTGAGCAACAAAAAAAAAAGACCGTGGATTTAGTTTAATGGTAGTCAGATTTCAAGCCTCAGTGTGTAGAATATAACTCAGTGTGTAGAATATAATTTTGCTTTGAGCATAAAAGCATGTTCTGAAACATTTCTTGCATAATATTTTCACCAAACTAGAAGATCAAATGATCAATAACTTGTTTCAATGTTAGTTATATACATCTCTTTGTATCTGTGTCACCAACTTTACAATGAATTTCCTAATGGAGAAATGGTGCTCTATTTGTCACTATTCATTACCTTAAACAAAATTCTCGTGTGGTTGGTCCTTAACGACTTCTGCTAATGAATTAGCCAGGATTCGGAAACCCCAAACAGTGCATGTAGAAAATAGCCGGTTCTGCAAATTAGCAAAGTACTTAATTTCCTCAGTTACTTTTAACTGATTTAGTTGGTTCGGTGTAACATTATCACATGGAGATATGGAAATTCACAGGAAATTCTGTCTCTTTTCCAATCATCTCTTGGGTTTGACCATTATGTGCAATCAGCATTGAAATTAAATAATACATTTGCCTGTACGGTAATGGGAACCATCTGAAAATTTTGATATTTTTTGTCTATTTCTTTTCCGATGCAGGCATATTTCTTTTCTCAATGAAGGTTAATGGGTCGTTGGAAGAGCAGAAAGATTTATATCTCCAATGATCCTGTCGCGGTGGCCCAAATGCACTGCTGAATGGTTCAGGCACAGGAAGGTTTTCCCCTGGGAAGTTCCTTCTTGCCCCTACTCCGTACTCGCTGCTTCAGTTCAGCGTGACGACTCAAGCGGTGATGAAAGGCTGAATTGTGCTCCTCCTGATAATGAGCCTATCCGGAGACAGCAGCGGTCTTTGAGCTCTGACAGTGTTGTGCAGGCACTCCGCTGCCTAAGGAGGAATCCTGCAGTTGCATTTGCCTACTTTAAAGATATACATAGCCTTGGTTTTCACCATGACTTCTCAACCTACTCAGAGATCATACAAATTTTATCCCATTCATTCCAGGGGAAGATGCTGGTATCCTTGTTTTGTGAGATTCTCTCTGGAACTGGTAATGGTGGCCCAGAAATCTTAACACTTATTGATCACTTGAGCAAAACATGTGCCACTTCTCACGTACTCTCTTATGCAGTCAATTGCTTAATCAAGGCATACACCACCAGCCACGATGCACAAGAAACAGTAGAGATGTTTTGTCACCTTTGCAGGCTTGGATTTGTTCCTACACTTTGGGCTTGCAATTTTCTGCTCAAATTTGTATCTCAGAGTGGTGATTCGGATATGGTTGTCAGAGCTTATGATCTAATGAAGTGCTTTCAGTTGACGCTGGATACTCAGTCATTGAACATAGTCACTAGGTCATTTTTTGAAGCAAATAAGGCAGACGAAGCATTCCAAGTGTGGGTTAGGATGATTGAAATGGGAGTGAAACCAGATGTACATGGATACTCATCATTTATAATTGGCCTTTGTGATTGTGGAAAGTATGATCTAGCTTATAACATGGTAAGCAGATATGCTGTTCTTCATGAGATCACTCAGGAGAGGGTTGCAATTGAGTCCATCGCTTATAATATGGTAATTGATGGACTATGCAAAGAAATGAAACTGGAGGAGGCTGAAAAAGTCTTGGAGATCAAGACCAGACATGGATCTACCCCTGATCTATATGGTTATAGCTATCTCATTCGTAGTTATTGCAAAATGGGTAACCTAGGAAAGGCGTGGCATCATATTGAAGCCATGGTATCCCATGGCATCGAGATAAATTGTTACATTGTTGGTTACCTTCTACAGTGCCTCAAGAAGCTAGGCATGGTATCTGAAGTTATTGTTCACTTCCAGAAATTTAGAGATTTAGGACTCCATCTTGATGGTGTGCTTTATAACATTACTATGGATGCTTATTGCAAGCTTGGGAACATGAATGAGGCAGTGAAGCTACTGAATGAAATGATGGCTGGAGGTTTGGTCCCGGACAAAATCCACTATACGTGCCTGATCAATGGTTACTGTCTGAAAGGAGAAACAGAAAATGCCTGGCAAGTATTTGAGCAGATGCTGAAGGCAAATATAAAACCAGATGTAGTTACATATAACATACTGGCCAGTGGATATAGCAGGAATGGCGCTGTTATTAAGGTATATGACCTTCTCGAGCACATGATGGATCAAGGGTTGGAGCCTAATTCACTCACTTATGGTGTAGCTATTGCTAGTTTTTGTAGAGGAGGCAACTTGAGGGAAGCAGAGGTATTATTTAATATAATAGAAGAAAAAGGGATAGATAATATTGAAGTGCTATACAGTTCTATGGTTTGTGGTTATTTGCACTCAGGCTGGACTGAGCATGCTTACACACTTTTTCTTAGAGTTGCTAAACAAGGAAATATGGTGGATCATTTGTCATGTTCAAAATTGATAAACAGCCTCTGTATAGATGAAAAGGCTGAGGAGGCTTCAACTGTGTGTAGTATGATGCTGGAAAAGAATGTTGTTCCTGATGTAATTTCATATAGCAAACTTATATCAGCTTATTGTCAGACAAGAGATATGCGGAATGCTCACTTATGGTTCCTTGATATGGTTGAAAGAGGACTTTCTGATGTCATTGTATACACTGTACTGATGGATGGTTATTGCAAGGTTGGTCGGTTGCAAGAAGCATATGACTTATTTGTTCAAATGATAAATTCAGGAATCAAGCCTGATGTAGTTGCATACACAGTGCTATTGGATGGCCACATAAAGGAGACCCTACACCAAGGGTGGCAGGGTATCGCCAAGGAATGGAGGAGCTTTCGTCTTAGAACAAAGCATAAGACGTTGCTGAGCTCTATGAAAGACATGGAGATTGAACCTGATGTAACCTGTTACACAGTATTGATTGATGGACAGTGCAAAACAGAATATCTAGATGAAGCATGGGGATTGTTTGATGAGATGTTAGCGAAAGGACTTACCCCTGATGTTTATGCATACACAGCTCTTATAAATGGATACTGTTGCCAGGGAGAAATAGCTAAGGCTGAAGATCTTTTACAAGAAATGACAGATAAGGGGATGAAGCCAGATGTACTGACCTTTTCAGTATTACATCAGAGAACCTTGAGACATCGAAAGGCTCATTCATATTTATGATGTCCAATGGTTGTGTGTTGATGAATGTCATTTGACTGAAGGAGCGTCATGCCAACAAAAAGGTAATAATTTCTTGTAGTTGTATTTACCTTTGTCAATCATGATTCATGAACTTACTAAAAAAACAGTATATATAATTATGTTTATTTAACCACCTGCAGACAGTTGTGTTCTTAGGATCCTACCAGATTCGGTTACTGGTGCTAGTGATTGGTGGGCCTATGTCAGGAATTCGGGCACCTGGAGCATGAAAAGATTGCCCTCTCAGGGTCAAGGAAAACAAAATGCTTTGTGTTCTTAGGATCCTACCAGATTCAGTTACTGGTGCTAGTGATTGGTGGGCCTATGTCAGGAATGCGGGCACCTGGAGCATGGAAAGATTGCCCTCTCAGGGTCAAGGAAAACAAAATGCACGTACTTTCAGCGTCGGGATCAACGACTACCAATGGAGCTGTGCAAAGATCATCCTGACTAAGTTGGCTGTGGCACTGGTACCCACACCATTTATGAGTACTGGTTCATTTTGTGGCTGCAACTAGTCTGTTCTCGGACAACCAAGAGCAAGAAAACAGGTAAGCTCTCGGGCGTCCTGGGGCCTTGGGGAGCTCTCGATGCTCCTGATTCCGTGCTGCGCCACATCCATTGGGTTGTTATGTGGTGATTCCAATTGTTCGAGCCATGCATAGGGAAGGTGCGTGTCATAGTGTTATTATTCAGGGTCTTTATTTGATATCATTGACTCATTTTCCCTTGTTCAACAGAGAGCAAGCTGATTACTGTTGGGGGTTGTCTCACTGCCTGAAGACAGCCTCTCTTGCAGAAACACTGGCGCTTGTGTATGTTATTTGATTTGCACAAATCCACATACTCTTATCCCTTTGGTTCCATCAGCAGGTAACAGACTTAAGCTTTCTGGGCAATGAAAGATCCAGTCTTTTGCTCACTCAGAGATATATCTCCGAAGTTAAGAGCCATGGGTTTCTCGTTGTATGTTGAAACAAACCAATTCATTGGTCCTACTCACAACTCATCAGAACTGTCTTTTTGTTTATCATAAGGATTATCCAATGGGGTCATTCATAACTGGAATTGGTTTGACATGTCACGTCTAGGCCTGGTAATGGGCTGGCTAAGCCCAAGGATCATGGGCTCTTATATATGGGCTGTGTATGGTTTTTTCTTTCTTGAACAACACTGGAGAACTGCATGTCATTTCAGTAGGGTCAAGAGTTCATTCCTAGTACAAGGGAGAGAGACTCCAGGACACCACACACACCCACAGCACAAGAATTACCGTGAACAAGTTCTACACGACCAGGGCCAAGGGAACACAGAGGCTCATGGCTAAGTGATTAGCGACTGAAGGAGCAGCTCTTGAAGAACAGAGGCTCCAAGCCATACACCATAAAGAACCTTCAATTGCCATTGCATGTAAAACCTCTTGGACATTAGGAGAAGCCCCTTCAAACACACATACATTGCGATGTTTCCAGATTTCCCAAGCATCCAGTAATCAAAGAATTCAGCTCCTT